GTCCTCAGTCTTCTCCACAACAATCATATTCGACTCAGCCATAACAATTTGCTCCTCGTGGGTATACTCCAGGACAACGTCCTCGTCCCTCACAAACTCAGCCTTTTGCTGCTAATGTCGTGAATGCTAATGGCACACCTTACATGTCACCTCCGGCGCATAATGCTATGAGTCTTGATCTCAGTCAGATGAATACGGATCAGCTGCAATCCTTGATACAACAACTCAATATTCATGTTCAAGTTCCAGAGCAGGCAGTCCCCTCTCCATTGGTTAATCATTCATCTATAACTGCAAATGGTTTCACGGCTGCTGAATTGTCTACTTCTGGTACTGTCTCTTTCCCTTTTCCCTCCTCGAGTATTTGCTTCGAAAACCATTCCTTTACTTTTCAACATCAATGTTTCTCTTCTATTCAATCCACACTTCCTTTTGATGCTTGGATCATTGACAGTAGTGCCACTTGTTATGTTTGTTCTGATCTTGCAATGTTCAGTGAAATATCAAATGTTTATGGTGTTACTGTCTCTCTACCTAATGGCACTAGGGTTCCTATCACACACTGGCACTATTCATATCTCACCATCTCTCATCTTGCATCATATTCTGCATGTTCCATCTGTTTGTTTCAATCTGATTAGTGTGAGTAGTCTGCTTAAACATAATAAGTTCTCTGCTTATTTTTACCATGATTCTTGTTTCATACAGACGCATATTCCGGACTTGATGATTGGTAGAGGATATCTAGTTCATAATCTCTACATTCTTGATACTGCTGTTTCTGCTGTTTCCACTTTCCCTACGAACTACTGTAGATCTTTGATGGTTGACAGACACATTTGTCACCAGCGGTTAGGCCACCCATCTCATACGAAGTTACAATTCTTTTCTGATGTTTTACATTTGTCCAAATTGAGTCAGGTTAGTCCTTGTTCTATCTGCCCTTTTAGCTAAACAGAAGCATCTTCCTTTTGTATCTCACAATAGGTTATCAGAATCTCCTTTTTATTTAGTTCATCTTCATGTTTGGGGTATTTTTAAGGTCGAGTCTGTTGAGGATTACAAATATTTTCTCACCATAGTTGATGATTGTACTCGCCTTACTTGGATTTACCTTTTACATAATAAAAGTGATGTTACCCGCATTTTTCCTGATTTCATTAAACTTGTTCATACGGAATACAACTCCACCATTAAAGTCATTAGAAGTGATAATGCCCCTGAATTAGCTTTTACGCAACTTCACAAAGATCATGGCATGTTTCACAAATTCTCTTGCGCTTATACCCCCAACAAAACTCTGTGGTAGAGCGTAAACATCAGCATTTGCTGAATGTTGCTCGTGCTTTCATGTTTTAATCGAATATGCCTTTAGTTTACTGGAGCGGTTGCATTCTAGCTGCTGTTTTTGTTATTAACCGCACCCCATCCCTGCTTTTAGGCAAGAAATCTCCTTATGAGATGCTTCTGCATAAGATGCTTGATTACTCCTTCTTGCGTGTTTTTGGCTGTCTTTGTTATGTGTCTACGTTATTAAGGATAATATCCCACATCGGAAGTTGGAAGAGATCCTAACTAATATATAAGGAGCATGAGCCAATCCACTTACTGCCAATTGGTTTTAGGTTGGAAGTTCATGTAACTTAACATGGTATCAGAGCCCGATCCAAACAATCCAACCCGATCCATAATCGATATGTGACCCAAAGATGGTTCATCGATCCTTGCCCAAACATTACCGAGATCAATGGCCAAAGTAGCCATCGTCTCGAGGGGGCGTATTAAGGATAATATCCTACATCGAAAGTTGGAAGGGATCCTAACTAATATATAAGGAGAATGAGCCAATCCACTTACTGCCAATTAGTTTTAGGTTGGAAGCCCATGCAACTTAACATACGTTACAGAAAGACCGCCACAAGTTTACCCCTCGTGCTTAATCTTGCATTTTCATGGGTTATCCATCTGGTTACAAGGGTTATAAGGTGCTGAATTTGGAAACCCGTGAAATGTTAGTCTCTAGGAATGTGGTTTTTGCTGAAACTATTTTTCCTTTTCGTGATGACCCTGCGCGTAACACCCATGATTCTGTTTTCACTGATTTCATTCTCCCACTTCCTACTTCTCTCGCCACTGATTCTGTAGTTACTTTTCCATCCTCGTCTTTGTCTTCTCCTACATCAACATCTCATGCATCTTCATCCCATGCATTTCCATCTCTTGCATCTCCATCTATTCCTTCTCATCCCACACCTAGTGCCACACCACGGGAGATGGTTTCATTGGATTCAGGAGGTGTTTCACAGGACAACGCAAGGCCACAACGCAAGACAAAGGTATCGACTTATTTGTCTGTCTATCATTGCTCTCTTCTCCGCCATTCCACTCTCCCTCCCACTACCGCCACTTATCCCATTTCCTCTATTCTCACTTACTCCAAACTTAGCCCTTCCTATCAGCATTTTTTCCTTTTCTATTCCTTTGAGACAGTACCTTCGACGTTTAAGCAAGCAGTGCAATCAGAAGTTTGGAATGGTGCTATGGATGTGGAACTGCATGTTATGCAGCAAAAACGGACATGGAGTATTGAGTCTTTACTGCTGGGGAAGAATAGTATAACCCTGATGGTTCTATCGAACGACATAAGGCTCATCTCGTTGCACAGGGATTTACTCAACAGGAGGGTGTTGACTTTGATGACACCTTCTCACCGGTGGCGAAGCTTGCTAGTGTCAAGTTGATTCTCAAACTTGCTACTAGTCAACATTGGTCCTTAACTCATATGGATGTTTCTAATGCCTTTTTGCATAGTGATCTTGATTAGGAGATTTTTATGAGTCTTCCTCTGGGTTATACACCAGCTCCTGGTGAAGTGTTGCCACCGAATCCTGTCTATCGTCTGCATAAATCCATCTATGGGCTCAAGCAAGCTTCACGCCAATGGTATCATTACTTCTCTTCGGTTTTGTTGCAAAATGGCTTTGCTCAGTCTTCAGCTGATAATACATTGTTTGTCAAGCAAGCGGGTGCTTCTTTTATAGCTCTTCTGGTTTATGTGGATGATATCCTCATTGCTAGTAACAATGATGTTGTTGTTGCTGCTCTTAAGCAAGTTCTTCATTAGGCTTTCCAGATCAGTGATTTAGGTCTCACTCATTTCTTCTTGGTTTTGGAGATTGCTCGCAACTCGACTAGGATTCAGGTGAATCAACGGAAGTATGCTTTGGATCTTTTGGCTGATGCTGGTTTGTTAGCTGCCAAGCCTTCCTCGGTTCCGAATGAATCCTACTGTTCCTCTAAGTAAGGAGACCGGAACTCCACTGCCGAATGCTACATCCTATAGAGCTCTTACTGGTCGCCTTCTGTACCTGACTATAACGAGACCTGACATTACTTATGCGGTTCATCGTTTAAGTCAGTTCCTCTCTGCTCCCACTGATGTTCATCTGCAAGCTGCCATCGTGTTCTTCGCTACGTCAAAAATGATCCACGACAGGGTCTCTTCTATGCAGTTAGTTCTGAGCTTTGCATCAATGCCTTTGCCAATGCTGATTGGGCTTCCTGTCCTGGCTCTAGACGTTCTGTGACTGGGTTCTGCATCTATCTTGGTGAATCTTTGATCTCTTGGAAGTCAAAGAAGCAGCCTACTGTTAGTCGTAGCAGTACGGAAGCAGAGTATCGCAGTTTGGCTCTTGCTACTTGTGAGATTCTATGGTTGAACCAGCTTCTCAAGGATCTTCGGATCAACGTTGCTACTCTGGCAAAACTTTTCTGCGACAACAAATCAGCGATACACATTGCTACAAATCCCGTCTTCTACGAGAGGACTAAGCATCGAGATTGATTGTCATACAATCCGCGACCAGGTCAAGAATGGTACAATTAAGTTGATCCATGTTTCCTGCTCCAATCAACATGTTGATATTTTGACCAAATCTTTGCATCCGGGTCCTTTTCACAGTCTTCTTAATCGAATGTCTGTATCAAGCCTCTTCAGTCCTATTGATTCGGCTTGAGGGGGTGTATTAGCTGTATATATATATTTATACTTAGCTGACGTGTACAAGTTATGAGTATATAAGACATATGTACAATACTTTGAGGAATTGATCAGATAATGAGAATCATTTCATACGCTTAGGGGATGGTATTGAATGATTCAATTTGATAGAATGTACAAGAATTCAAAAAAATTGATTTTTAAGTAATTTAAAGTATTTTGTAAGAATTTAAACTAATTCTATCAAAATCCTAGTAAAAATAGTAGGAATTGGTTCTTAAGAATTTTTAGGTAAGATTCTATTAAATTCATTCCAAATGATAATACAATCAAAGCTATACAAAATTGAATAACACAGATATTTAATAGAATTGAAAAATTAGTATATTGAATAACAATGATATTTAAAGGATTTTGAAAGAATGAATAAAAACACTTAATCCAATAACACAAATATTTTAAAAAAATTGATAAAATATATCATTGAATAACACTGATATTTAATGGAAACTTCAATTCCTTTCAATTCAATCCAAATTCTAAATCCAATACTCCACCTTAATCTCATTGGATTTATTAAGTTCATTTTTTTTTACCAAAAAAAATCAGGTAAAAATGGAAATTAATCTTTCCAAGCCCATAAAAACTTGTAACTTTTTTTATGCTATTAAAAGCATTTACGGATGGCCAAAGATAATTGAACTCTGCCAAAGAATGACACATGCTAATAAGAGGTAGATAGTTGAAGAAGACTTAAAGAAGAAAAAATTGGTTAAAAGAAAATTATACACAGAATTAAGAGAAAATTACATAAAAATAATAAAAACATATATTAAGATAGAAAAAAATACATTAAAAATATAAGAAACGTTATGAGATCATTCATTGAGTTAAAAATTAGCAGGACAAAATTAAAAAAAAAAAGAATTTACATTAGGATGTGACATAATATCTAACATAACTCTATAGGGTAGCTAAAGGTGGTTAAAATTGCATTGAGAGCGTTCAAATTTTGTCAAAAATGACATTTACAATGTATTTATAACCACTGGATCACTATCAATTTCTTTTTTTTTGTAGAATAGATAGATTATATATATTATTAAAGTGAACCAAATTCAGATGTGTTTGAAAACAGATTTTAGATAATTATCACATTTCCTATTAACCAAAGTGGTATATTACACCTCCATTTTTGTTGTTGTTGTTGTTGTCTCTAAGCCCAAAGAGCAAGAAGTGACATAGATGCAGAACCCAAAACCAAAGCCACAAAACAGAGCTTCTTCAGCCTCGAACTCGATTCACCAGCTGACGTCAACATCTTGTTGTGGAAGAAATCTAATGCAATTAGGTCAACTAAAGCCATATATATCAAAATCCCTGAAGAGAGTGATCCCAATAAACCTTCCATTATCAATGCGTTAGGGTTTTGATCATCATAACCGGTCGCTGCAAAAATTATCATCCCAAGTACAATCCCGAGAGGCGTCGTTACGGCGAACATCAAGCACATATACACCACTGTCCCTGCCTTAAACCCAGCCTGAATAAAAAAAAGAAAGTAAAAACCAAACATTACCACCGTAAATTTAAACTGTAAACAAAACCAACATCTCTTAGGCTCGGTTTGGATCAGTTGAACCGGAATCAACATCTCTACTTAGAATGTTGACATTATTACGATATGCAAAACTGTCAACATCTATATACTTCTTCAAGATTTTTCTTAATACAATAAATATTTTTCGAAGTCAGAACTAACACATAGGTATCTCTATTTTTTCGGTATATTTAATGTCACCCCTAATAATTTCAACTCTAGAAGTCATTTGCATTAATTAGAAACTAATTCAAAAAAAAATTGAAGAAAGAAAATGAACCTGAGCGATGCAACCACCAAGGCCTAAGCCTTCGAAAATCTGATGAAACGAAAGAGCAGCGATCAAAGGTCTAATGGTACACTGATTCTGTGACATTCCCATGGTTACACCAATTATCACTGAATGAAATATAATCCCAATTTCAAGAACTTGAGACACTAATCTTTGTTTCATCTTCACTATCTCCTCCTCGTTATTTTCTTGTATTTCCAAATCAGCCCCATACTTCCCTTCTTTCATCTCCAAACCTCCAGCCGCCGCAGCAACCGGTATGTACTCCATCCCTCCGCCACCACCACCACCAGCACCGTGTCCCATATGTTCACTCGCGGTTAAATCAACCAACAACGCCGTTACCGCTCCGATCATCGTCACCAAACCGGCAAACGGAAAATCTCTCCACGGATGTCGAGATGACACCTGGCAATCGGCGAGCGATTCGAAAGCCTCCGGCAAGACGTGGACTAGAGACGTGGAGAGAATCACGCCGGCGGCGAAACACTTTATGACGAGAATCGCTTTATCGTAGAGAGGCTTACCGTGGAAGTAACGAGCGAGAAGAACCGGCGCAGAGATTCCGAAAACGCTTGTGAGGAAAATGACAAAGACGGAGATCAGCTTTAGATGAGCCGCTGCTTCTCCGTCTCTACATGCCGCAGCTCTAATCGCCGCCTCTGTTCCGGTGACGCAAGAGGCCATGGTTGTGGAGGAAGACGGTGAAAGCAAGAAGAAGAAGAGGAAGAGATTAGAATTGGCTAGTGCGCAGACCACGATAGCAAAACAGAGTATTGGAAGTTTATTGGAATAAGAAGTTCTTCTGTAGGACCCACTTACCACGTCAAGCGGTTTATTAAAGAAAGTGCGTTGTTGAGTAAGACTTCCAATTTCCAAATTGCCAAAATAATATAAAAAGCAAAAAAATTATCTTTCCTCTCTTTTCGTTTCGTTTTTGTTGTATTTGCCTTTTTGGTCTCTCTTTTGCTTTCTTTGGAGAAGACGATGACGACATCTAATAATTGAGATTACTCTGTTTCTCTCTGATTTTCCAATTTATCATGGGCCCTATAAAGGCCCATTATGACTGAGCCCAAATGTTTTTTTTGTGCTTTGAGAAGTTTGACTGCGACGTGTTCTTTGTCTTCTGTGTGTTGTTCACCGTTGAATCATCTTATGGACCTCTTCTCTTCCCAACCAATTAGTTTTAACTTTTAGCATAAATAAAGCCCAATGGGGATAATCAATTTGTGTTCACAGCAAAGCAAAGATAAATTCCTCTTTTTTGTAATTAGAATAACATTTTAAAATGTTCTTTTGTGCACTCTCTTGTACTTCTGTAGCGTACCTCGGTTTATAGAAGTTTAAAATCTTTGGTTCTTATTTCTTACTATAAAATCAAATGAAGTTTAAGAGAATTGTAATATTGCTCAAGCTCAAACGAAATCGATCATTTTGGATGTCATAAAATCAATATTACTACAAATCATTCGTTTACATGATCATTGATCTTTGATCAGTGTACCATTTGATGGTAATGGCATGAACCATTTTGGTTTTATACAGTTTCGATTTCTTAGAAAGATTAGATTTTCACTGAATTCTCTTCGGTTGAATTTTGGTTACAGCATGTTCAGATATAGAAAAGAGGAAAACATAAAATTGGATTGGATTTTTTTTTCTCTTTGGTTCAGTTTTTGGATTAAATTTTTCTGTAGGGATTTGATTTGTAACAATAATGAACATCTCAACATTCTAGTATATATGCAAAAGTGTCAGTCCACATCTATCTAACTATACTTCTTCAACGGTTTTTAAAATCTTATTATACTATTTTAAAAGTCAGAATCAAAACAACGTATCTTTAATGTTCCTCTAACAAATTCAACTATAAAATTATTTTGCATTAACTATCTGAAAGATTAGTTTGAAACTTGTAATCTGTGAAAACTCAAGTTCGACTTATAAGAAAACTAGGGTTTGTGGGTTTAAAGAGAAATCTTTTATTAGAAGAAGTCGGAGCTTGAATAAATACACGAAGGTTTAGGTCGTCGGAATAAGAACGCCGACCTAAACTTTTATGGAAAGTAAATCGAAAGCTAGAACAACCAGATTACTTAGTTTGCTCTAGGTCTCGATAGATGATTTTTGGATGATCTGAGAAGTCGAGGGCTTCCTATATTTATAGTTGATCAGGTCGGTCTTCGATGTGTGTTTAGAATAGAAAAATCTTCTTGCCGACAAGAAAGAACTTCTTTTTTTCTCGGGTTCGCTCGATAAATGAAAAGTTTTCCATTTATTTAGCCGACCTGAAACTTGTAGAATGAATCGACCAGAATTCACATCGAGTTTGTAGAGATGGTACGAATCTCATCTCTAACATAATCTAGTGATTTATACTGATGTTGATTATGTGTTATATACATTATACAGTTTCAAAATTTGAAGTGTGCGTGAATAAGTTAAGATGACAAAATAAAATAAATAAATAAAGCTAAAGAAAGAAATTAATCTGAGTCATGGAGTCACCAAAGCCCAATCCATGAAATCTGTTGAAACCGAAAATCAGCGATTAAAAGCATAATGATATTTCATACCAGGTAGATTTCAGACCAAAATCGAGACTAATTTTCAATGTCGATTGAAAACTAATTATTATTATCATTTAGTGTAAAACGTCTACAATGGCTAAGAAGGAACTACAACTCTTTTTGTAAATGGTGAAACTTGATCCATGATCTTAACCTACACGGCAAGTACTCCACCCACTCGAATTGACCATTAGGTCACATCGCATGCTTATTGTTGGTTTATACATATTGTTTGATATATTCAGATATACCATTACGTTTTTACAATGTAAACTCAAGATTTTGAGACTAATCTTTTGATACATGATTGACATTGTAAAAAAAAGTGCTCAACCTAATATATTGTGTAGCATATGCGAATTTTGGTAGTCGTATACCTATATTTAGTTTGTATATGTACTTTAAAGTTATGTGAAGAACGTCCTTATTATTTTTCCAAGCCCAAAACTAGTTGAAAAAATTAAAATCAAAATGTGAAAAATCAACCAATAATTGGTTCAGACTTACGCAGAAAGAAGTGGCATATATAAAGTACACTGAGCTTCCTTGTTCGGCAAGAGGACATCAACACCTAACTCTGGACTGTTTTATCCTTCTAGGGTATTCAGATTATGACTATTGATTTGAAGCCTCCCACACAAACACAAGTGAGTGATTGGGTGATCAGCATTTCCTTAGATATGTTATCAAAACAAAAACATTGCATTAGATGGCTAGCTAATGAAGTTGACGTGTTCCTAACATGTCAAGTGAAATGTAAATTATCAATATAAAGTGGGTATAGCTAGAATCCTATAACTAATTTGTATAACAGAAAAGATAAAAACAAGGGGGAATTTCTCTTTATAACCTAAAAGTTGATTTTTTCTTAATATGTAAACTCTTTATTGAATATTTGGCAAAACTAACCCAAAGGGATAGTGAAATTACAGCTCAGTCCTTTGTGACTAAACAAAAAACGTCTGCCACAGTTACGATTTTATCATTCGAGAAGTCTACGTAAGAAGTCTACAATCGTTGTATGTAGATTTCAAAAGAAGTCTACTACATAATTAGTTTTTTAAAAATTAATTAGAAAATATAAAATAAATAAAATTCTAAAAAAATTGGTAAACATAAGTAAGACATATATATTTGACATGTTAGAATACAAAATTTCATACAAATGAATCAACTTAAATGTAGAAAGAAAATTAACTAGAAAACATATAACCCCTTAGAAGTCTACTAAAGAAGTCTACTTAACCAAAAATTTTCCTACATATATAAGGAGATTAACCTAATTGAGTTAAAAATAAAGTTTTTCTCTCCCTCTAAAAAACGCCTCTCTCTCCTCTACCTCCTCTCTGGCCATGAATCTCTTCTCCTTCCTCTCTTGCCATCAAACCCATCTCTATCCTCCATCCTCTCTATCTCAATTATGGTGATGGTAAGCAAATCTGAAGTTTTGTGTTTCTTTTGTTGTTTGTTTTGTGTTCATATTGTAAATCTGGGTTTATTATTACATATTTGAGTTTCTTGTTGTAGATATGAGTTTATTCTTGCAAATATGCGCTTTTTATGGTATAAATTTTGTAGAATTTGTTGCAGATCTGATTTTTTTTTTTGTAGATCTGAATTTTTAGTTGTTGCAGATCTGACTTTGTTTATTTTGTTGCAGATCTGAATTTTGTTTATTTTGTTGCAGATCTATAATTTTTTTGTTGCATAGCTGATTTCTTTTTTTCTTTTTTGCTGCAGATATGATGTTTGTAAATATAGCAGATTTTGTTGAAATATGAATTTTAACATTTTTTTTCTTATTGTGCAGACCTTAGCTTATTTATTTCTCTTTTGTTTTTGTTGGAAGCAGACTTCAGCTGCAGATTTCTCGAGTAGACTTCTCGAGCAGACTTCAGTCACATACATCTATTTCAGACATTTTGTTTTTATATGCTAATTTTAAGATTTATAATTAGTGATCCTTAAATGTTTGTTTGATTAGAAGGTCTACTTTATATGTAAAATTGGATTACAATTAATGTTATTTTTATATATTCTTAAATTATGTGTGTTTTATCATATTCAGATTTCATATGCAGACTTCTTTGTCAGACTTAGTCATCACCATCTTTGAACCTCTAATAACACAAGAAAATTAATTCAATTTAACTATACAAAAACATGCAATACTCCTAACAAAAAAAAACATGTAAAACTACTTAGAAATACCACAACTAGTCTTTCTTCACACATTCTCAATAAACAGTGGGTATGTGAACCATTCTCTGTAAGAAAACAAAATTCAAACCACATTAGAAATCAATGTCGAAAAAGTAGACTGCAAACATAGTCTACTATGTAGACTTCAAATGAAGTCTGCGGACTATTAAGTTAAATACCAAATAAAAGAAGAAAATTAGTTAAAGCTAAACTGTAACAAAAAAAAATATTCAAACTCATACATAAGCAAGAACAATAAATATCACACACTTACGAGTCAAATGATAAATTTTATTTGTTACAAATATCTGATCAATTAAATTTATAAAAAATATTAATGTCGCAGACTGCAAACGAAGTCCACTTCTACGGACTAATAAGCTAAATACCAATTAGAACAAGAAAATTAATTAAAGCTAAACTATAACAAATAAACATGTCAAACTCCAACATAAGTAAGAACAATAAATAATACATACTTAAGGGTCAAAAAATAAATTTTATTTGTTACAAATATCTGATCAATTAATTTAAAAAAAAAAATAATGTCGCAAACTGCAAACGAAGTCTACATACTAATAAGTTAAATACCAAATAAAACAAGAAACTTGATTTCACCAAATATATATAATATAAACATGTAAAACTGATACAAATGTAAGTACACTTACTAAAACAATCGTAAAACCAAAAAAATCTTAATAATTCGTTGTAAATTTGATAAAAACGCGTTTATAAAAAAAAGTGAAATAGTAGACTAACAACGAAGTTTACAAAAGTAGACTTGCAATGAAGTCTACAAATGTAGACTTCGTATGAAGTCTATATTTTAGGTTACTTTTGCAATTGTCAAAAGATGAGTAGACTTCTTCAAAGAAGTCTACTCACTCCGAGAAGTCTACTTGAGAAGTCTACGTAAAAAAAGGTCAGTTTTGCAATTGACCAAACTTTGACATTTTCGTAAGAAGTCTACTTGCAAAAGTAGACTTCTTCGGAGAAGTCTACTTTTAAAATAGACTTTTTAGAGGTTAGTTTTGCAATTGATCAATGTTGACTTTTCAAAGTAGACTTCGTTTGAAGTCTACTTCAAAAGTAGACTTCAAACAAAGTCTACTTGGGTTAGTTTTGGGGTTGACCAAACATTGAATTTATTTTCGAGTAGACTTTTTTTGAAGTCTACTCAGAAAAGTAGACTTCAAGCAAAGTCTACTCGGAAAAGTAGACTTCAAGCAAAGTCTACTCGAAAAAGTCAACATTGGTCAATTGCAAAACTAACCTCTAAGAAGTCTACTTTCAAAGTAGACTTCTCCGAGTAGACTTCTTATGAAAAAGTCAAACGTTGGTCAATTGCAAAACTAACCCCTTTTTACGTAGATTTCTTTTGAAGTTTACACTATTTTTTTTTGTTATCAAAGGAAATGGCGCAGACTTCAACTGAAGTCTACTGTCAGAAATTGGTACACCCGGTCAATTGCAAAACTAACCTGTGTGTTGACCAGCAGACTTCTTTTGAAGTCTACTACCGACAGTAGACTTCTTAAGAAGTCTAATTTCGCGGTACAGATCTGAAAACTCACGAAAATTGACTGGAAAATCTCCTACCAGTGGTATTTAACTTATTCAACCACCGATTTCTTTGATTCCAGCCACCACCAAACAAGCCCAAACGATTTGCCAGACCAAATCACCAAATATGGCAATATATTAAAACATCAAGTTTCAAAAATTTAGATTAGAGAGTTTTTGTGCTGAAAATGGTGAAAAAATGGAAGAGTAGAAGGTTAAGAGAAGAGGAAATGAGGTTACAAAGCTAAAAAATGGGTCTTTGAAGCAATAAAAGCTTCAAATTGGTTGAAAATGGTGGTTGAATGAATTGATGGTGATGGTATTTTTGTGAATAAGTGAGGAAGATGAGGATTGTTTGGTAAAATAGATTTCTGAAATAATAATAAAAAACAATAATCTAATGGTATTTTCGTAAATAAATAGAACTGATAAGGATATAAGTGAGATAAAGTGGTTAATTTCAAAAGTTGTAAAATGGGAGGTTAGTTTAGCAATTGACTTAAATTTATAGGTCATTTTTGCAAGATTCCTTAAAAACAAATCTAAATTTATATCGCAACTGAGATATCCAGTAAACAGAAGAAAAAAAAATGAAAGAAAAAATGAAAGAAAACTATTTGATCTGTTGGATATAAAATATCTAGCTACAACTCAATTATATAATATTTTCAGCTAACGAGTTAAGCAAAAGAATATTTGAGTAGTATGATCTAAGTGCTTTAAAGAACAGATCAGTGATCTCTTAATACGATACTTGCTTTGGTTACTAAAATGTTTTCGACCACCTCCACCACATTGCAAAATAGTACATAAGGTATTTATAGATTTGATATATATGTGTTGTTGTACAGTGTGATGGTTTTAGTGTATGAGAGGTCTCTTGATAAGAGATGAGTATCTCTGGAAGGTGTCAGGATAAAGAATTTTCCAAGACACTTCCATATGTCTTATGGTGGCTCGTCCATTCTTGAAAATGAAAATCTGTTGTTATTGGATAGTTCATATTTCGAATAGTATTAAAAAAAAAGTACGTCAAAAACATTAATCCACGTTAGATAGGGACATCACGACATGTAATTCAATTTCAATCTCATTGAATTCAGTCTATGAATTCTGTTTCAACAACTTTTTTTCTTTGTTTAAGCTCCAATAAATTCATCAGTTCATTATATATTTTTTAGTACATATATATATTTGTCGTCATGCATATGTTATTTGGGTCGCTAGAAAATGAAATTTAAGCGATTATTTATCCTATGCCGCACATACTCCAAATATATAATAATTGAGTACCCACCATATCATCCATGGATTTTATGATATTTTAACTTATAGATGATAGTGAAGAGGGTAAGCTATGATAACAAAAGAAAAGTTACTTATAAATTGGGAAAAATATAACATTATGGTTTTCTCAGCTTCTAAAGCTAAATTTGGCTGTATGAACATGTTTTAAATACCACTGCATATTGACATTAAAAGAAAACAAAAAGCTTCAACAATAATTCGTCCACTAAATTTAGTAAGACGACTACATAAATAATACACATAAATGTAAATGTACATAAATTTGTGCAAGCCATATGAATAACACATGCAGTAATTCGACTAATCAGGAAATGAGTTATATCTATCTTGAAATTAGAGGACAGCCCCATCAATAAAGATTTGGTGCTAAACCTAATAAAAAGGGAACATAAAGGACCACATCATCGGCACGACCAATCTCCTTCGTATTAATTTCATAAAATATTGATGAGATATGTACATTACAGATTTTCGATTACAATCTGATTCAAAACAAAAATATTCATTAAATAAAAAAAACATATGGAAAATGACTATTCTTTAACTACTTTATAGCTCTCAAACTAGATAGGAAGAATGCCAAGGACAACAAATGGTGGCACCTACTTGAGGAAATCTTTTTTTAGATTTTTAATTATATGAAGAGAACGATGATTTACCTAAACTATCGTACATTAGTTCTCGAAACAAGACAAAAATGATAATTATATAGCTATATGTAGGGTCCGTTTCTCTTGTTATGTCATGCCAAACAAAAAATGCAAACTCAAACCCCACAACATGTCTTGGATTCATAGATTAATGATCTTCACGTTTTGTGAGTCGATGGTAGTTTTGTTGATATATGACCGTTGATTTTGTACGGTTCGACAGTTGGGCATTTGGCGGTTGACATTCAAGCGTTACCATTTGATTGAACGCATCAATGATTTGGCGGTCCGGTTTAATAAATGTCTTCATTAAAGTAAAGGAACATTAACAGAATCAAAACAAAAAAAAAGGTGAGAATTATCAAAGCCAAAAATCAAATTTTCACTAAACACAGTCACGGAGTTGCATCATCTCTTTAATAATCCTATATATCAATATCCTTACGAGATAAATTTCGATAAATGATCAGTTAAACAAGCAATCAATTTTCTTAGCTAGCTTAGCTACACATCTCTTGGATCCACAAAGAGAGACCGCGATGACACTTTGGTAATTTCACTGAAACTAGTCATCTTCTCCGTGCATTTCAACGGTTTGATGCACCATGTGTCGTCTTCACACGAAAGCATTTTCCAATGCGGAACACATCTCATCAGAGAATCATCATGGACGTTACTTTCTCCGTCGACCTCTACCACCACGAGTTTACACGCGCCACCATCATTTGACGCAGCCATATTATGAACGTGCTCGCATAGAGCCTTAACGAGTTTCCCACGCAACGGACCTTCAGCGTGAACCCCGTAGAGGAAATAGAACCCAAACGGAGTAAACAGATCAGGTAACGCCGTTAATCCAATGAACGTCAAGAATCTACCAAGAAAGTTGCAAACTTTGGTGAGAAGCATATAGCTCAAAGGAGCTTTTCCGACCCTAAGTTTGAAGACTTTGCTACTGTCCCACACACTAAGTATTGCCCAACTTCTGATGTTATCGTCATTGTTGTAATTAGCCACCCATGTCCCGATACTTAACTTGTTCCGCAAGATTCTGTTTATGTCGCCCGGGAAAAAATCTGCCGTTGATGCCACGTGTTTCCGGTACCATGACACAGCTTCTTTCACCTGTAACTTAATAATGTACTTATATTAATGTTTCCATGTGAGCCTACTTTAGCTTAAGCTCACATATATATTATTTAAAGTAAAAATGTAAACGACCAGAAACTTATATTTCCTAGCTAATTTTTCGTTATTTACTACTGTGTTTATATGTGATGGAATATTATTTTTCATGACGAAATTTTGGAGCATATCCTATAATTCAAAAAGGAACTCAAAATATAGTATATATCCAGTTGGTTAGCAGTTTGAAACGTTTGAGATTTTACGATTATTGGTTTAAATTTCTTATGGTATTTTTAGGGGGAAAAATTGAAGTACTAATGCAATAAAGTTTTCTAAACTAATGCAATATTGTTTGATAAAGTCACCTTTAGCTTCCTTATTCCGATATCAGAAGGCAGTTTCAAAGACCGATAAGGGTTAACCGGATTGACCAGTATTGCCGGGTTTCTGAAGACGACATAACCAAGTGTTCCAACGAAGAGACCGAGAGATGCCTCATTGTCCTTTTGGGTGGCCATGTAAGCATAGTCAGCATTGTGAGTCACGAACCATTCCTCAAGCTTTCTTACTAGAGTCGAACCAATGCCACGGCGTCGATACGGTGGCACGACTCTGAGACCAAGAACGTAACCTACTTTCACTGACTTATCATCAAACTCAACTGGTTTTACTGAGCCTTGTATGGAACCCACCAGCTTGTTCCCAACTTCTGCCACCTATTAATTATCAACGTACATTAGTTTAGGAAACGCTATTTATATAAATCAAATACTTAACTAATTGTGTTGGATCTTTACTAACATATATATACATAAGATTGGACTTGACCAAAAAAAGCTTGACCAAAATAAATAAATATATATACATAAGATTGGCACATAAACATATATGTTTCAGTTTCTTTAGCTACAAACAACAATCATATATAATTTTAATACATAAATACAAAGTTGGTTTATAGTCCATACGTTTCACAAAAAAGTCTTTTTGAAAAATCGACACAAACTATGTAAAACATATTGACATATTTAATACATATTTATTGTTTTAGCATGACACCAATTTGTCTTAAGGTCTTTATCTCTCTATTTAGTATAGATCATTAATTTTTTTGTTTTTTTGTGTTCAAAATATAGATATTTTAACAAAACTATAAGTTTATCTAAAACAAAAAACTTTATATCGACATTTCGTCTAAAACAAAAAATGTTATAATGATGCTTTTGAAAATTCAAAAATAAAAAAGTAAAATATTATGCGCAAATATATATATTATTGGAGTTCAAACTAATCAAGTTTCTTCTTTATCAAATTTTACTATTTTGAGAAAGAAAAAAAAAGTGAACTATCTTTATTCTTTCGTTTAATTTTATATAGAACAAGAAATAACCAAGAAAAAGAAAAATTAAGAGAGGGAAATAGAGAGAAATTAACCAGCATAGTGAATAGAGGAGTGTTCCGGATTCTGCATATGGGATCGCCTAAAGTGTCTGTGAAGAGAGAAGTTTGGTCGTGACCAATCTCACAACTTTTCTCCACACACTCCATTTCACTTCTGTCTCTACGATCATCGTAGCATCTGATCACCACCTCTTCATCATCTTCTTCCCTCCACTGCCCCACCATTTTCACACTCTCTCTCCCTCTCACCCTCTCTTCCTCTCCCTCTCTCCCTCGCTCTCAATATATAAGCAGAATGAATGGAAAAGAGGTATAAACAGCTCATACAAAGAGAATACCTCGGCCTATTATACTGCGGAATTTATAGAGCTTGAAAGCTTAACGTTTATCTTTTTTTTGTTTTGTTTTGTTTTTGTGGGCAACTTCACGTTTATCTAATTAATGATATGTCCATATATGAAAATGTAATAATAATTAATCCAGTCACATCCTTCAACATCTTTTTTTGGCTCTGATCTATTTAGGCTTTTAATTGTTTAATTACCAAAATTTTCATAAATCTAATTTTGTTAATATAGACTAAGTACATTGAATATCTTATATAGAAAATTTTAAACTTTTAACAAGTGTTTAAAATAGAATTGACCAATTATCTGTAGTAATTTTAAAATCTTGACTTGGAAGGAAAAGGAATTTATTTATAAAATATATACATACAGTACACTAATACACACGTTATGGCAGCTAGTTAACGGACAATAAAAAAAAAAAAAGACATAGCTCCCCTATTCTTGTAAGTTGTTCAAAATTTCGTAAGTTTACCAAAATTGACAGTGCAATTGATTCTAGGAAAATAACTCATGTTGCAAGCCTAATAATTAATCAATTTTTTCTTAAAACATTGCCTATATATCTAACAACGTTAGTCAAAGTTTATCCGTATAGACAGACTTTTATGGAGACTGTAGATGGTTGGGTACTGCCTTCTGTAATAGGTAAGTAAGTCCTACATACTTTGACTCAACATTTTAATAAGATATTAATTGTTCCAAGTAGCCCTGGGCATTCAGGTATTCGGTTCGATTTTGGGTAGGAACCGATCGGTTCTGGTTCTTTCGGGTATGACGAGTTTTTATCCATATAGGTACCGAATTGATTTCATGTCGGGTTCGGTTCGGTTCTTATCGGTTCCAGATCGGTTCGGATCTAAAATTTCAGAACCGTAAAAAATCCAAAATATTTTGGTTATTCTTGATTATCGGTTCGGTTCGATATTTTATACCTGAAATATACTAAAATACCCGAATAAAGGCAAAATACTCGAAATCAAGCAAAATAACCGAAACAGATTCAGTACAAAACACTGATCGAAAGTACAAATTTCAATTCTTGAAACAACCACACTAAAGATAAAGACGAGAGTCAAGAGACTAAGTCTATATTCATACATGAAAATGAGACATGGTAAACATACTAAAGTTCAACATTTCAACCACAATGCTAAAAACCTCGAAGAGTTAAGCTCTGAAATGGTACTGAGCTTAAAGTCGCAACACACCAACACCTGATCTTTTGTTATTCACTTCTCCCTAATCCCTATAGGCCTATACGCAAAAAATAGTAAATTTGAGAAGGTGAGACATAAATAACAATACAAAATCAACAAAAGATAGATTTGGTTACCCCATTCTCAAGTTCCTTGGAAGTTGAATCCAGGTTCAAATTCTATAAGAAAATGAAAGAACATAAGAATTAAGGATTAATAATCGAAATTGTAAAATAGATTTAAGGGTTAGATGAAACTTGAAAAGAAAGAAATTACCTCTCATAAGTTCATCTTCTATCTCTACCTCCTCAAGCAAACGCTCAATTGTTAAGTCTCCTTTCTTATTGAGATGAATTTCACATTTCAACCATTGCTCATTGCATATCAACACTTCGATCATGTAGTGTGTCAAACAACTTCTAGATAGATCTAATACTCTCCCACTGGTGCTGAATGCAGATTCTAATGCTACTGAGGACACTTGCATTGCAAGTATATCTCTTGCTACAAGAGACAAAACCGGGAATTTGGGACTGTTTCTCCTCCACCAATCTAATACATCGTACTAAGTACCTTTTATTACCCTTTGATGCTCCACAGGTTCTTTCAAACTCAATTCCAACTCATCAATTGAATATGGAATTCCAGTTTCTTGCACAAGCTCCTTATAAAGACTATCCATTCTTTCATAACCGATTCCATTACCTAAGACTGTTCTCTGGAAAACTTGACTTGTAACGTGAGCTTCAGAATGAGAAGACGATGGTCCTTGTGACTGTGAAGAAGTAGCAGACCCACCACTAGTAGTTTTGTTTGCAAAACTATTGTATTCATCAAATAATTTCTTCAAAATATCCATGATTTTTTCAGAAAGAAGAGTATACTCGATGGATCTTTTACCATAAAGCGTCTCGAAACAGAGGTGAGCAAACTTCATCTTCTTCGTTGGGTCAAATACACTTGCTACTATCAAAAGCTTGTTCATCTCACAGTTTTGAGATGAACTATTCTCACTTGAGTCTTCCCAGAACGGATTCCAGTACTTCTGTAATTTCGCCATCATATTCAAAGCCTTGTACTTTAATTCTTCATCAGGACCTGGACATCTGCTTATTTTACTAATATTTCTAGTAATGGTGCAAATCTCAGCATAGATTTTATGAGCCGTGATGGAAGTTGAAGCTGAAAGACTTAATGTGGAATTGTAGAAGATAATAAGAAACTGAATTAACCTCTCAGCTTCTTCCCAATCACTTGTAATCGCTGGTCCAATCCTCTTCTTTCCATCCACATATTCTTGAAAGTAGTCATTATACAGTTTATCTTCAACTTCCATCTTCTCAAACGCCAATTTAAACTTCACAGCTTATTCTAGCATCAGATAGGTCGAGTTCCATCTGGTCTTAACATCTAAAGGCAAGCTTCCCCTTGTAATCTTTCCTGATTCTACACGAAACTCAAAAGACTTGAGTCTGTTTGTTGAAGACCTCACATATTGAATGCCATTACGAATCCCAGCAATACTATCACTCATCTCCATCAAGCCTTCCTTCACAATCAAGTTCAGTACGTGAATAGAACACCTTATATGCAAAAAATCACCATTTAAGACCAAAGCATCAGCGCCAAGTTGACTGAATCCTTCTTTGAACTTCCTTAGAGCCGAAGTTTTAGCTGTGGCGTTGTCTACTGTGATGCAAAAAACTCTCTTTATATCCCACTCTTCTAAACACTCCAGAAGAACCTTAGATATGGTTGCACCTTTATGATCACAAATATTCTTGAAACTGATGATCAACTTCCAATTAGCATCAATAAAATGAGCTGTTATTACCATATAACTAGCTGAAGTATTGGGAGCAACCCAAATATCTGTAGTCAACGACAACCTCTGCTTACTCTGTCCAAGAATAGTCTTCATAGCTGCTTTTTTTAAAACATAGATCTCCACAATTTCTCTTGTGCATGTTCTTCGAGAACGAGGCTTATACAACTTCACTTTTGAGAAAAAAATGTCTCCAAGCTAAGCTCTCTACGAAAGATAATGGTAACTCTGCTAATACAATCATCTCATTTGTAGCTTCGTTAAACACACTCTCAGAGACCTTACAGAAACTCATGTCGCCATTCTCGCCAGGACTTATCACTGTTTGACTCTTATATTTATTAGCAGCCACCCAAACAATGTAAGATTTGCAGCCCTCTAGATGTTTCTTCAGATTGGATGTGCCAGACTTGGTTGGACAAGACATTACCTTCCCACAATAATTACAACTACATATGTCATAATTGTCTTCCGGTCTGGTGTAATGGTTCCAAAGCCAAGATCTTGTCTTCTTTCTAGACCCTAATCCAGAACCAGAAACTCCCTCTTTGCCTTTCCTCTTTCCTTTACTTCTAGTTGCAGAACTTGGTGTTTCAACATCATCATCTGATACATCAGTATCATTTTCCGCCATTGGAGAGTGTTGATGTTCTTGAGGAGATTAACAAGACGCCATCTGCATTATTATTAAACAGTTCAAAACCAGTCTCATTAGATTAACAATCTGCAAGTATCATTCTATTAAAATAAACAACAACAAGCAATAAAAATCAAGATAAAACAGCCGCAAGCAATATTGAATTAAGAGAAACAAACGTGAAACGTCTGTAAGATGGAGTTATTTGATTTGAGACAGAACATTTTACCAACTTACAAAAGAAATAAAGATAATCGATAGTTGGAAACTGAGAATGTAACTGGTGAAAAGATTGGGTTAACTCTCAAAAGTAACTTCATAATCAGATATACACAATCTTAGTTTCAAACTCAGAAATTGATACAAAATCCAGAATGGATCAATGGAGAATCGACAAAGCTTAAAAAGAGGAAAGACAAAGACACATACCTCTGATTGATTTCTTGATGCCGCTGAAGGTGATGATGACAGCAAACAATCGGCGGTGGTAAGTAAGGGTTCCAGCTTTGTAATTGGGATTTTTATTCGACTCGGTGTAGATGAAGCTAGCAGGTTCGTAGGGTAGGCGAATCAACAAAGTGTAAGTGGTAAATAGGTTTTTGTGTTTATTGGTTTCAGATAACCGATCTGGTATCAGATAAAATCCGGAACCGATCCGATACCCACAAGTATGAAACATAATATCTATCAGATAAATAGACTATAACCTAACCCAATCCAAACCAGTTATTTCGGGTCGGTTCCAGTTCAGGTTTTCGGGTCCGGTTTTTATGCCCATGGCTAATTCCAAGTTTAAGAAATAACCTTCTTAAAAGAACATTTTATATTTGACTAACCCTGGTAGATATATGCTCAATATTAAAAAAAAAAAACAGGCATTAACTAAATACTATTCGAATAAAGTTTTGCCTAATTAATTAATCTTACTTTAGTATTATTGTTTTTTTTCTTAACATCTTACTTTAGTATTATTGTTTTCAATTACTGTAAACGTAGAACTAGATTATTAGACACGTAATACGTTTATGGTATATGTTTTTCAATTTTGTTTTTGTTTTTGTTTTTTGTTTTGCAGAAATTATATATACAATTATAACAACATTAGTCTGCCGTACGTACGTCTAGTTGGACGTCTAAACAAACAAACCGTTGAATTTTTGTTAACCAGCTTTGTGACCAATTAAGTAGAAATTATAGTATCTGAGACACTCAGACATATCACATATCTAAAAATATTTCGACGACTAGACAATTAATCAATTCCAGAACTAATATTTTGGTGATATTTAAAAATATATAGTTTTTTATATTTTCTATTTGAAAGATATAGCTATATATATAGAATGAATTAACCAAAAAAAAAGCTATATATATATATAGATTGTAATATAATATAGATAACATGTTTGGTCCATATCTAA